CAAACACAATGATATTTGAGTGGGAAGAGTTGTATTCGCATGAACTCAGTCGGCTCGTTCCATAATTGAAATCACTATTGGTATGTCAATATTAAGGTTGGCTAAGGTAATAGAAGGGATTGAATGGACTTCTCCTGTGCATGTCAGTGTGGTTTTTCTATCAAAATGGTTAATGATTCTGCCGTTTGAAGGACGTTTAGTGGGACCGAATATGGCAGAAAACTAATAATTCGATAAATCACTGACTTGTACTGGCTGTATGATTAATTCACATGAAATAAGCTAGTAGTAAGCTATCCACTGCCCTGACTACACATTCACCAAGGTAATCTGGGCACGCAGAAAGCATCTGTCGTAGTTTTGCTATGCGAGAGTAATTTGATTCTAATAGAAGTTTTATGATGCCATTATCTGATGTTTTTAATTTAACAAGTTTAACACTTCACTGAAATCTGTAGCTTTTGAGAACAAATAAGTGGAGTAATATGTTGACGAAGTAGTTACTTTCGCTAGCTATAAAGTGTATTATTTAAAAAGACTTCGTTAGTGTCGACTACTTTGATCCTTAAAATTGCTAACCATCCGTTGTTTTGATAAGTTCTACAATGGCAAGTAATATCAAAAGCAAAATGTTCCAAAAATCAGGTTATCTGTTTGTCAGCATCGAAGACTGTGATGCGTTTTCTTCTGAAAATTTTTAGATGTCTAAAATTTCTTTTAGTTACGACTGTTCCTCAGCGTGATGTGAATTTACTTACGTTTGAAACTAATTTTCCTTGTAGGCGCTTGAAAATAGTTCGTTCATTCTTCATTCTCTGGTTATACGCTCCAACTCCATCTTTCAACAACTATTTGTTAAATTTATATTTAGTGATATTAGTAGTGGCAAGAATTTGACGTTGTATTTCAGCTGGTCAGATAAAAAAACTAAATTTATTGAATGTTAGGCTTTATGGCTAAACGTACAGATATGTAGATAGGAACCAGTTATGCCCATAAGATCAGAAACGTAATTAGTATCCAATTCTGCAAGTTCAAACTGTTAATGGTTCCCGTCCACATTTCATCCCTGTTATGGTTGTTCAGGCAACTACACGTTTCATTTTAAAAAGTAAGTAGCTTTTAGTGTAAAAATGCAGAAACGTCAGAGATCACATAAACTTTGAATTATACTTTATTTAGTACTTTAAACGTATGTGATTTGATGACAAACACATGTAAGAAAAATAATTCAGAGTTTATGAAGTGGGATGGATGAATATGTTAATTCTTTTCAATAAAATACATATAAATCGTAAATGTTCAAAAAAGTGACTTGTTGTGTAATCGTTTTATTGAACAAGGGAGAGATATTTTAAAGTATACTAATGACTCAAGTTACATCTTAATTAACTCCATGAATAGAAAAGAACAGCTGATTTATTCTAAACATTATAAAGAATGGTACTTCATAATGAGTATTTAAAAACTGATAAAATTGGTATTTTCATTTTTCAATCAATAAAACAAATAAGAGCTTTTTCACATGTGCTTTAAATACGTTAATTAATGTCAAGTGTTTGAAACATGAATTAAATGTTTTTATTCGTCTTTCTCTAGGTTTGTAAGACAAGTATGAACAGTCGTTGTACTTTACCTAGTTTATTTAGCACAAATCATATATAATTTTACTGAATGTAGATATTTTGCATTACTCTGTGCAGATTATGAGGATAAACTTGAAGTTGTTGGTAAATTCACTATCCTATCAATCAACAAAGACATTTTTAGCAGTGAGAATAATGTTAGTTTAAAACTCGGGTAATTATGTGAATACGTCATGTTTCATAAGAAAATACATTCGTAATATTGTGAAAATTATTTTAGAGTATTTGAGTTTTATTTTTGTACACTTCTCCACCATATCGCTTTATTCAAAGGCAGTTTTGCGTATTAGGTGAATATATAGAGTCCTTCTCTTATATTTAAAATTGATTCAGTAGCTGAGATTGTTTTGCTACTTAAAAATTATGAAGATTTCAGGCTGATTGTGAGTCCGTTATGATGTTAAGTGACTGGAGAGCGTTGTCAGGAAAATCTGCTCGACCTGAATTTCGTTCCTAGTGAGATTAGTCACCAGAACACACCCTTTATGAAACCGGTAGTTGTTATAAGAGTTAAATCCACACCGTCCAGCTCCAAGGTTTAGGATGTTACTATTGAAGTTTTCGGGGCTTAACTAACTTCTTGTAAGACTATAATGTTTGCAATTAATTAATCACTGAGTAGTAACCAATCTTTCATTTACCTTATTGACTTCCGCTGATCAATGTGTAACTTGTCACTGGCTTGAGTGACTTAGCATTCTCAGAAGTCGATCAACACTATAGGATAGATAAATATGGAACTGGTTAGTTCTCAGTGATCAATGAATTAAGCTACCACTCTTTTCCATATGTATACTTATACGCTGATTGTCTTTGTAATAATGCTGAATTTTTTTAACATATGTCTACATGTTATTTTGAAATCGTATAATCTATTTAAGTAACTATTAAAATCGAGAACGTTAGTTTTAGGAAACAAAAGCATTAAAAACTAAGCTCAGACTTATTCAACCAAAAATCTACACAACATTTTATACTTTTTAATGACCTTATTAATAAATACTTGCAGTTCAAGTTGTGAATGATACATCCGTTCCATACTAAAACTTTACTCAGCAGATTATAAATTCGCTTTTGTAGAAATAGAATCATAGTAACAAAAGTAAGATTACAATTTGCCATAACTACTACCAGTGTAGAAAAATGTTCAGATATAGGATTCTTACTTTCAGCCCTAGGAACTGTTTTTTAATATCATGAAACGTAAGTTGACCTGATTTCTAGTATATAAACAAGCAAAAAGCTCATGGTACGACGAATTAGAAAATATGAAAGAGGCTTGTTTTGTATTTTTGATAATACTGTCTTTATAAAGTGTTGATACATTTATTTCGCTTATTGTTATATAAAATGTTTGATGTGATTCGAATTGCTTTTCTTCGATGAACTGAATCCCTACTAATTAGTAGCTAGAAGCTCATATTTTTCATAGTGAGGATTGATAATCTCAAGCTTAAGGGAATTATAAATGACTGTTAAATTTATGGGAATATACATAGTTAAGCATCGTGGAGACCATCCTGTCTATTGTAAGGAGAACATTCAGAAATTCAAACAAATGCTCATCCGATTTATACATATTTCTGATGTTAAGGGCTGCAATCGATCAGTCTTTCTTGACAACCTGCATCATGTGTCGAATGCCTTGATACTGACATTAAGGTACACGTATGTCTAGGCAGATATGGATTGCAACAAGCAGCAGAATCCAGGTACATCTTGTTAAAGAGTTCTAAATAACAATATATATATATATATATATATATATATATATATATATATATATATATATATATATATATATATATATATATATATATATATATATATATATATATATATATATATATATATATATATATATATATATATATATATATATATATATATGGAGAACTACCACGCAAACAGAGACTGAAGATTTCAGTCTTAGAGACTTAATTAGCAAGAAATTAGAAGATCTTAACAACAATATAGTGTGAATCTTGATATTTGATGATGATGATAATAATCAAAGCTACAAACAGCATAGGATAGCTGAGCGTAGCAAATATGTTTAGTTTTAGAGTAATATGGAATTTCGATGTGTGAAACTTCTATTTTTCTACAAAAATGTTGTTTAGACAAAATATCACGTTTAATTTCTCATTTGTACTGTACATATCATATCTGGAAGGCATCAGTAGGTAAATTTTATGGTCAGTGATCGAATGATCTATTTACCAGAAACAGAAAAATATAAGACTGGTGATAGAGTTTATTACTGCATTGTTCTTAATAATAAGGATAATCCTTGTGTATTACCCAGAATTTTACTTTCAAGAGACAGAATCTTGTTAAAAATGAAGATAGGAAGAGTGAAAAAATTGGTGGCGCATTAACCTGAACAGAATGGTGAATAACAAAAGTTCTAAGAAGCTGACTTGCTTTTTAGCAGGTTGTTTTAACCACTAGATCTATAGTCTATCCAGTGATCAACAAACTATCGGTTAGTTAAATAATGTAGTCTAATCAACATTTATTAGAATGGTTTTGGATAGTGAACAGAATTAGAATGAGTGAGTGTTTATCTAAGCTCTTATATATTTCTCCTCAACCTCTTACACGGAAGTCGTTTGTCACTTTGAAGACCATAAACTTGGCTTTTAAAATGCAAGAATTGAATACTGTGTTTTTCAGTAATGTACTGCTCTAGTTATAGCTATTACAATGCAATTTTACCAATAAGTTCGACTATCGTTTTAGTGAATGTTATATTGTCTTTAGTTATTTTCATAAACATTAGTGATTCACAATGCAAAGCCAAAGACGTAATATAAATTAACACAGTGTTAAGACGAATTTCAAGTATCAGTTACTGTGCTTAGTTGTTTTGTGTAGATTTTAAATATTTACTATCATACTTATTACTAAAATCAATTAACCTATTTTTTATCATAAATGAAACAACCTAGCTTTTTGCTAAAATTAAGTTTCGAAGATTTTTTCACCTTACTCCCGAAAAGTAAGTAGTGTTTAAAATCGATATTGGATTTTTTAAGTGTAATATAACAAACTTTTCTCTTAGAAAAAAATTATGAAATTAAATAAACACTTAAATGCAACACTGCTCAGTTGTTTTAGAGTTATGACATAAGGTTTCGTCTGTTGTTTCAGCAACTGTAGCAGATTACTAGATTATTGTGCTTTGAAGATATTAACCTGAAGCTCTCTATCATTACATTTTCCTTTCATTTCTCTTCATAGATCATTCAAATTAAATATGCTTTAATGTAGCCTTATTTAAGTTTAGGGACGTTTTTATTTTATACTACAAACGTAACAAACTACTTTTATTCCAAAATGAATATGAAATCACATACATGTGATATGTTTGAAAATAGTCTCACTACTAAAGCTGACATTGTTATCCAAAATCTTTAGTAACATACGGTGTTTTTTAAATCACAGTCAACTGCTGTGTACTAGTTGTTTAAACTCAGTGTTACTGATACAAGAATAGTCATTCGCATTTTCGAAAAGTGATTACAAGATCAATGAGATGAAGTGAAGTTATTTTCACAATCTAAAAAAGAAAATAGCAGATAAAACTTATCTATTATGGTTTTCTGATGCGTCGGTTGTTATTCTCTTCCATCCCTTAATGAGTGAAAGGATGAGGGATACGTTTGCGTTTATTTGTGTACAGCATATAAGTTGATTTAGAAAAAAACCGAAATGGATTTTTAATATTAGTTTTTTGAAATAAGAGCAAGCACTTATAAATATTTGTTGTATAGCTCAATACATTTTTAGTGCCTAAAAATGTGATAAAAGCAACTAATGGAATGGATCAGATAGAAATGTCAATAGTGTATCTATGAGTTCATTGAAAATGACAAACGAACTTTAAGGTTATTATCAACCGAGTCATTTTTCGATTCCGCTAATAATTTTTTTTGAGTTGGTAGAAGATAAATTTAATGTTAAAATCGTTTTGGGAACCAAGGGAAATATGACATTATTGAATTACTGTTTATTCTGTGTTGGGTCTCCGACTCATTGACAAATGATAACGTCAAGAGGGAACAATCCAAACGGTTGCGAGTCTTGTGTTGAGCACGTTATTAGATTTCCATTATTCCAAATTTTATAGTTTCTCAGTAGCGTCATAAATGATCCTTGAATCTTTCTATATTTATCTAAACAGTGGACTTTTCTTAACCACTTGGTATTTTTCGAACTATTATAGGTGACACAAATAACTCGGCCAAATGTTACATATAACAAATAAAAATGAGAGTAAATTGTTTTTTTTTTAATATTCAAAAATCTGTAACTAGCCATAAAGTGTTCCGATAAAGAGCCCGTCGTAATGAGACTTTACAGTGGACAGCAAAGCGTGTCAATTATCTATGATCTTCACAGAGATTATTACCCATCGTCCATACAACAACGTCGGAGTTTTAATAATATCACAAGTAAGAAACAAATAGCATACTTTACATTGTTACTCAGTACTATTCACAGTATATACATTTTGTTTCACTTAATAGATATTGAACAACTGGAAACATTTAGTATTAATTAATATGTGAAACTTCTGTATTGCATATTAGGGTCACTGATAGTTCAGAGTATTAATAAAGAATCAGAATTTGATTAAAGCAGTATACTTTATGCACGCTACGTTTTCTAAAATGTATGCACTATTACTTGTAATTCACAGTGGGTACATTTATTATATCGGGTAACCGTTGTACTGTTAGAGTTTTATTATTTTTAGTATTACTGGTACATCGACTGATCGGTTTATGTCCTGGGTGTATCCTTATTTCTTATGTTAAAGACTTGGAGCTAGCTCACTGATAATCATGAGCTTATTATCAAGTGATAGTATACTGGATGGAAATACTTCAATCGTTTTGTAACACTATGTTCGATTAAACGACAAATAAATATTGTCTTTCAAAAATATTTTCCGATTCTGGTTTATTATTTTACATCATTCCTGTATTGTTAGTTAGGAAACAATTTTGAAGAGATAGGACACGGTAATAAGTGGGCAGTAACGTAAGGAATAAAGAAAAGATAAAGGTCAATAAAGGACAACAAATTCTAGGTCTTTAGGGATTTTCTTCGTAAGGATTTAAACTGAAAAATTAAAAATTTATTATTTGCCCGTAAATTTCTGAAATTTTCTTGTTTTCTTGATTACCAATAATAACATCAAAGATCCAAATAGTTACATGATGTCTTCCGAAGGCGGAACCATATGTATGTGCTTAATCTGAATAATTTCTATTCGGTACATGAAATCTGTTTTATTTTTACTTCCTGGATAGATTTATTTTGACCTACGAAGTAAAGAATAATTTTTGTTTAAATTTCCATAAATTAAGGATAGTATTGAGTGTTTCATCGACAAATTGTCGGATAAATAGCTGATTGTGACAAAGAAAAAGAGTTAAAAAGACAGTTTATTGAGGGAATAAGTGACCATAACACGTGAGATTACTCTGAAACAGCTAAAAGAATCTATACCTAATTAAAAGTCACATTATTTCAATCATAATAAAAATCACTTTTCACAGATGATCGTTCAAGTTAAACTTCAAAAATATAGGAGGTGTGTTCATGTGATAGTTGACTAGTTAACAGTTTTTTAACAAAACCAAATCAATATTGAGTCGATTCCTCGTGTTCAAACGTGAAAAATAATAGACATTATTACAAATTGAATTCAATATTTGATTGATCGTAAATCAAAAAGTGTTTTTATCATAATATGACACTATGTAGTGTTGGCCTTGTTTCTTACTTATATCGTCAGAAATTCACTGTATGATGAATATTACCAAGAAGAAAACTTTATTTCGTTCAGCGGTAACGTTTCCTACTGTAAAATTTAATGACGTAAGTATAAACGTTTAGTTGGTACGTGCCAACTAGCACGACTACAGACGTAAGAAATTTCGGGTGATTTTTATGAGTCACTTAAGCAAACTTAAATTTCCATGACGAAATTTTATGACAAATAAGCGTGTACATTTTTATTGGAGAATAACCTTTAGATAAACACTTGTTTTTAGTTAAAGACTATGTTGTTATATCTTAGAAAATATGTAGGTTATTGAGTTATAGTATTATTCTGTCATTTTTTAATTGGAATAAATATAGTGATTAAAAAGATCATTGATAATCACTCTAGGATTATTAAGCTCCTTATCTGAGGTATTTTGAAAACATCTATAAATAAATGTATCCGGTATAATATATTTTAATCACTGCTTTTGTTATTTGGACCATCTTCTTTTCCAAAATGTTTCCCCTTTTTGTCTTTTTACTTGTTAAATTGTAGTTGTCCCAGTTGAAAAACGACAGAGACGTTTATCATTTCGAGTGAGTTATTGTGAACTGACGTTTGTATACAGCAACAAATATATTTGTACTTCAATATTCTTCTTATCATGAGATAACAGTATGAAGGTAGCTAACCATATCGATTTTTAATGCAAACCTTGTTTATAAATATTTTGAGTTATCAATTCTTTATTTAAAGCGTGTCAGTTGTTAATTCATAGGATAGACATAACACGTATAATATGAAAGCAGTTTATTAAAGGCTTATTTTTAGCATCGGTCATGTGGACTGTCATGCCTCACCAACCAATCAGATTATCTGCTGATTGTAGTGTAAAATGTAAATGTACAGTGCTAACATCAGAAACTTGTTTATTTTTATCACATTAAAACTGTTTTAAAGTTATGCATTGTATCATGGCTAAAAGAATAATAATTAATGAGTTAATTATATGAACTATATAAAATAACATCACTGGTTAGTGTATAAGTGTTTACCATAATCTTTGGCCTTTTCTGTATCAAATTTAAACAAGAAATATAATATAGGAGTCTGATGTAGGAGCTTCAAAGTATAATATGGCACTATATCAAAGATACAATGACCCTTACCGAAAGCTTTGAATATATCTGTAGGTTGAGGTAATTATTTTAATGGAAGTGCATACTATATTAATGAACAAACTGCTAAACGCGTTATTCGTAGATACTAAACATTTGCTGAAAAATTAAGCATTATGAGAAAACATTTAGAACAGCTGAATAGAATAAACAGTGAGCTTTGGATATCAAGCGATGTCTGATAAAAAGGTGTGTTACGTTTATTTTCCATTAAACTAAATATCAAAATCCTAAGCTGTACATCAGGCCATTTAATTACTTTTCAATAACTTGGCCTTTAAACATCATCCTACTGATTGTTAAACAAAAACGAATTTTTAGATTTTCGATTTAGCCAACCAACGACATTTTTCGTTAACATTTGTAATAATGTCATTGTAGTTAGTCTGTCAGTCACGACGTAGAGCCTGTAGGTGTGTACATCGGTTGAAGTTACCATATCCCATTAACACATAGAGATGACGTTATAAGGCGAAATCCAAGAATAATAGAGGTAGTAACAGCATCAGTGGTAATGGGGCAGATTAGTCATAAGAGATATGATTGAAGATTCTTCGAAAATATATAATGGAAATGAACAAACATTACTGAAGATTTTTGCCTATCACCATTTTATTCTGTACATTGGCTTTATCGCACTAACCGAGGATTTATATGTGATACTTCTAAACCTTTACAAGTAGTATTACCGAGTTTTGTATTGACGAAATAATGATAAATTGTGCACCTGAGAACAGATTAGTTATGATATTAGATATAAATAAAATGAATACAGTGTAAATAGTTTGTATTTACTTCTCATTCAGTCGTTAAAAATACTTTTCGCTGCATACTAAAATTATTTTCTGAGTTCTCTAGAAAATTCCATGGAGTTTAATCAACTCATTACCATTAATTCTTATTCAAAAGTGCAAATAATTGTTTCAAAGTTTATCGGTTCTGCGTTAGATTATTTAAAAAAAACAAGTGTGGGCTCCAGTATAGATTTTTAAAGTAGTTGGAAACAGTTATACAATTGCTCAAGCGATGGTTAGTTTTCATAAACGCAACCCCTAAGCTAAAGGGGACTTAGATAATGAATGGAACTGAAGTATTCGAGGCTCATTTTTTCCTACTTAGTACCTTTCAGCTAGATGCACATGCATTATAGTGTTGACACACTCAAAAAGTGTCTTCCGCCCAACACCTTATCCACTGAGCTACTGAGTTGATATAGTCAATAGCTTGTTCAAAAAATATTAAGTCATATATACATTTAGGTATGAGTTTCCAAATTGTTGATATTAAGCACTCACGAGGAGCGAATACATGTGTCTAGGATGCTATTGCTAGCCATACTTCATCTTTACTAAAACTTAAACTTAAGTGAAATACCAAAGAAATCCACCAAGAATTCACATATGTGAAAAGTCTGAGCAAAGCCTAGTCCTTAATATCGACACCCAGATAATTCAAACTTAATGATAATAATAATAATGCTAACACTAATTCAACAAGTTAGTGTCTATCTCAACTCATATCTAAGTGGATAACGGAAGGAACTTTGTTCAATTACAAGTATGAATATCAACACTAGGATGCATGTTCATTTAGGTGAGGAGTCCTAAATAAGATGAAATGTGTACCCTGAGTTCTACTGAGAGCTAGAGTCGATCTAGTGTTATTTACTGTATTCAGTGAAAATAATGTATTAATTCCCAGTAGATTTTTGTAATAACAAAATTATCATAATACTATCTATTCAATTTTTAAAATATACTTCTTCGACTTGCTTTCAGACTTAGTAATGTTTCCTGTAAATGTGATCGAATAAATCTTATTAAAAGACTTCCTAAATATAATTTTAATGCCTGAAGCATCGTGTGATTTTGCAAATTACGATGGTAATGAATACCAAAATAGGCGTTTTTTTATTATTGTCAGTCTCGTTATTTATATGTCAGCTAGTTAAACAACTTTTAGCGTGGATTACATGTTGAATATATTTTTTTGAAAGCATTTTCTCCAGGTCTGATCCATTGTATACTATTTGAATAAAGGTCCCACTAACTAATTAAGTATAAGAACAAATTATAATAGAAATATTATTCAGTAGGTGCGACAAAATGTATAGACATGTATTTACTAACCAATACATTTACAGACATTATAAAACAATAACCAACCAGTGAAAAGACAACACACAAACCAACTTTCTACTACATGGATACCAAACAGTAATATATATATTCTTAAATAGGAAACATGTAACACTAGTAGTACATTTCCCACTAGTAAAGAGTAAGTATTTTTAATGATATCTGAAAGAATAAGTCATGCTTTACTTTTCTTTGGAAGTCGTAGTGAAAATGTGTAGTATTCAGCATATTATGGTTTCAACATAACATAAACCCATTGTAATTTTAAATGTGGATTATTGAAGATATGCTCCGAACTAGATATAATTACTCATAAAGTATCTTACAGCCATATATGGTACCATAAGGGGTTATTATCAAATAACCATTTAAAAGAACTCCATTTTCACATTGTGCTTTATTTGAGCATATTACTTGAATTTAGAAAATTAGATTAACTACGTGGGTCAACACGAACTACATTGATGTCTCTCACTCTATGCTGATTGTGCAGGAAAATCAAACAATGTATAGAAGTATTACTTTTACTCTTTCATTTCTTAGGTTGTAGCATGAAATATATATGAACAATAAATGTTTTGTTCGAAAGCGAATTTTAGCATAGATCTTTAGTTCAATAAACTGTTATGATCAGGCAATAAATTTGTCTTCGAATCCTAGTCTAAAAACGCCAAAAATTTAATCTTATCTGTCTTTTATGTGTTGTAGAAAGACAATCAAATTTCACTGGAAGCAATTCAGCATGAAATCAGTAAGTTAATGCAATACATTTTTGATTGTAGGTATCATTACTAAGGTTTGACTTGATAATTTTGAGTAAATTAAGCATTGGGTAGATTGATTTGTTCAGACCTGTTTTTGATTGATCGCACATAATATTCTTTCGTCGTTCCTTTTTACTATTTAAAATTGGATTAGTTTTGATTTGGTTATTTATTCTTTGAAGTAGTGGATTACATTAAGTCACGAGACGTCAGAAAACCTCATTTTTCTACTGATTGGAATATTACAAATCTATTATATTTACGTTTTTAATTGTTATGTTTATGATGAAATGGAATCGTTAAGTATGCAAACTTCTGAAGACATATAAGCGACTATTTGTTTCAGACTTTGCTAAAGAAAACCTCCAGTGTTTCTGTCCTTTTTAACGAATTTCTCATGCTTTAATCTTCTGTACAATGTAAATTATTTCTGTCTAAAATTTATTCACGAACCTCTGTTTTTGTTTTTAGTTTTCGTTTTGTATATTATGAAATTTAGAAAACAAGGTTTAAGGTTTGACTTCTTTTGTTCCACTCATCTGCACTGCGCTTTTTTTTTACTGAAAACAAAGATATCTTTTTAAATTCAACTTCTCGGATTCTGTCTTATTGGAAGGACAATAAGTCTTATATGTTAAATTTCTTTCGATTTCATTAATATAGTATTAAACCATCATCAAACTTTTTCCGTATACCAAACAACAAAGACGATAGGTGTAGTAATATCTAGGGCAGTAAGCATAAGATCTCGAAGATTTTATATATTAACTAAAAGTAGCAGAAGCGATGGATGATTTTGTCATCAACTACATAGTAAACAGTTCGTCGTGTCCAAACTGTTGTGCTTGGATAAGTGAAGCTGTGAATTCAAGTTGGATGGAATATATAAAAATGACGACTAAAAATTGATGTTGTTGCCTTAATCAGAAGTACTTCAAAAATTAAAGCTCATCATTCATTAAAGAAAGACACGCAAATACACACAGATAATATATCATAAAAGCTTCTAAAATAATCCGATATACAATAGTGAAACAGAATATCTTTTGTCAATAAGTCATGAAGAGTTATTTGATGTACATTATTTTACTAAACATTAGAATTGTTACCTCTGTATACGTTTCTTAAATACAAATTCAGTTGGATATTTATTATTACATCGCATATTTAGAACATTTAATTCTCACTAATAGGAAATTCCATTGTATTTCCACAAGACTCTAGCTAAAGTTTAGTGCACCCATAGAGAAAACAGAAATTTTTCAATCGGTCATTTTGGTTCATCAAAGCTAATAGAGTTGTCGTTCGGTTCACAATATAAAAATGAGACGATTTATTTATACGTGAAGCACTTAATGTATTAAAGTTTCAAGTGTTTATGAATATTCTATGGGTTTAAGCTAAACATAATGATGGCATAAATGAAAGATTTCATTATGCATGTATCGCACTAGAAGCCAAATAAGATAGAGTAACCTGAAGTATAACAGTGAATCAATTTAAGTTTTACACATCGAAGAAATTGAAATTTTGACTTTAAAGTTATGAGGATAAAGTAATCTAATTTATTGCCTGTTTGATATTTTATAAAACTTTAATTTCATGATTTTTGTTAGTCGTATCTTTAAACAATATATTAGGTATTACCCGAATCTCTCGGCTAACTAATTTCCCCACCTTTTGGATGACACCTTATAACCTGAAAACAAAGCCTTTTGCAGAAACATTTGGAAATGTTGCAAAAACTAGTAAGATATTTAGCAGTTATCCAAGATTATAAATCAAATAATGAGTGTATTTTTTTAAACTTGGTATTTGTAAAATCTCATAATAATTTACTTCCATAAAAACAGGGAAGTATTCTTTTAAATAATAATTAAAAAGTATTTCACAATATTTTAATTATCCACAATAAGGTCACTCCGAACTGAATTTCATTCCTGGCCACTCTCTCAAGCTTAAGGGAATTATAAATGACTGTTAAATTTATGGGAATATACATAGTTAAACATCGTGGAGACCACCAAGAAATTTGAAAATCTTAACAACAATATAGTGTGAATCTTGATATTTGATGATGATGATAATAATCAAAGCTACAAACAGCATAGGATAGCTGAGCGTAGCAAATATGTTTAGTTTTAGAGTAATATGGAATTTCGATGTGTGAAACTTCTATTTTTCTACAAAAATGTTGTTTAGACAAAATATCACGTTTAATTTCTCATTTGTACTGTACATATCATATCTGGAAGGCATCAGTAGGTAAATTTTATGGTCAGTGATCGAATGATCTATTTACCAGAAACAGAAAAATATAAGACTGGTGATAGAGTTTATTACTGCATTGTTCTTAATAATAAGGATAATCCTTGTGTATTACCCAGAATTTTACTTTCAAGAGACAGAATCTTGTTAAAAATGAAGATAGGAAGAGTGAAAAAATTGGTGGCGCATTAACCTGAACAGAATGGTGAATAACAAAAGTTCTAAGAAGCTGACTTGCTTTTTAGCAGGTTGTTTTAACCACTAGATCTATAGTCTATCCAGTGATCAACAAACTATCGGTTAGTTAAATAATGTAGTCTAATCAACATTTATTAGAATGGTTTTGCCACATATTATATGTATGATCACTGAAGACTTCAGATTTAGATTTTACGTTTTCTTATAATTCATCAACAAAACTAGACTGTTTTAAACAGGTCGATGCAATGATGAGCATACATTTTATCTGACACTTAAGTAGAAATCGATAAGTTTAACTATTTTGATTGGTTTAATAGGGAATCACAATCTTCATATAACCGAAAAAAAAATTTTTATTTTGCTCTGAGGAATAGGGTTTATAAGTGTTTATTATTTAGAGGCGAATCAAGCAGTACGGTTTTGAGAAAAAGAATAAAATTAGCCATTTAGTTAATATATTACATCGCTAAACTGATCGTGTTTGACAATACGGAGCTCATGATTCCACATAGATTTGTGCATGGCACAAACAATTGCGTCGCATCCAATCATATTAGTTCACACTTTTGCGGGACATGCATATATATGGGGGGGGGATAGTTGAAAAACAGTCAAAAGTTATGAAACATGTGTTCATATGGCTTCAGAACCAGTTGGTGTTAAGTGCTCTGATAAACATAGGAAGTAGAAATCCATGTTCATAATAACAAAACATATGTAATCGAAACATAGGATAGAACTAACGTTAGTACACCTTTTAAAACTTTGTATAGAAACTGTCAAGGATGAATTATTATGTTTATAGAAGTCTTTGCTATTCTCATATCTAGGCCATCTTTATGAGTACACTAAAAACATCATAACCTTAAATTTGACCCAGTAACATTTAAATCATTTTATGGCCTATTCTTCCCATATTATTTTAATTTTATCTTCATTATTTATAACGCTTTGTTTATTTGAACTCTCACTTAACTGACCTTTATTAACTTTCAAATAAAATGACTTGACGATTATGTGTAAACAGATTGTTTAAAATGTATAGCACAAATAAATCACACTTTTTAGATCAACTCCCATCCTCATCGTTCTATCAAAATTTTGAGAGGGACTAACTTTTTTGAATAATCAATCTCGTTCTTAAATATTTCTTTTAAAAAATCCTTATGTTAGATGCTTGGAAAGATACAATGGACGGAGAATCATTAAAATATTATGTTTAGTAGAGGATGGTAGCTAGAAATTTCTTGAGATAGTTTTCCCACTGACTAGCTTCACTAGCCGTGTTTTCTGTATTTTCAATGAAGTTTGTTGCCCCTTTCCTTTAGAAATGGGAGTCAGTGTTCCTATTCAGAAACCGAAGAGATGATATTTGCGAATGCTGCATTGTACCGTACAGAATTAACTTGCACGGATAAACCTTAGATATTGACTGCCATTGATTAATAAAAGCTGCGTGCACGGCTTATTATCAGTGAATTTCAAAAATGTATTTCAAAAAATGATATCAAATACGCATTCTAAAACATGAACGTAAGGCTTCATTACATAATTCATTCCGACAAAAGGACTGAACAATATGAGATTTTTGACTACTCAGAAATGCTACACACTACGTGATATCGCATTATGTACTTGTACTTTTTTAAGTATTATAAATCGATTTACTGGAATGTGTTATTTCTATTTTGTCTATTGGGTAACTGAAATGATGAATTATTATTCCTTAGCGTTACTAAATTACTTACTCCTGTTAACCATCGTGGAGTAGCCTAGGTCGCCCACCAGCATTCCACAGCCAACCCTGTCCTAAGTCATCCCTTGAAGCTATCTCCAGTCACCGTTCATTCTTTCAGTGTGTGCTTCCAATTCTCGAAACAATGTGTTTCTTGGTCTCCCTATTTTTAGGTTCCATTCGGGATTCGAATTCAGCGTTCACCTCACAATACAGTCTGATCATTTCCTCAGTGTATGTCCTATACACTTCCAACGAGTTTTCCCAAGTCCCTCTTCAGATGGAAGTTGGTTCGTTCTCTCATACAGTAGGCTGTTTCTGATAGCATCCGACCAGCGGACGTTGAGTATTTTGAGTAGACAACTGTTTATAAATACCTGTACTATTTCGATGTTGGTTGTGGTAGTTTTCTAAGTCTCAGGTCTGTACATCTGAACTGTCTTGACGTTCGTATTGAAGATTCTGAATTTCGTGATGGCTCGCACACAGTTGTTTTGAGTTCCATGTGTTCTTTAGTTGCAGGAATATCGTCATTGCTCTGCCAATCCTTCTTGTTTGTCGCGGATGCTGTCCAGATATGTGAAAGTTCCCAACTATTCCGGAGTTTCCCCATCGAGTGTGATTATGTTGGTGTTCTCCGCGTTGTATTTGAGGATGTTGCCTTTTCCTTTATGCATGTTGATGCTAACTGCTGTGGAGGCTACTACTTCAGTAGGTGTTTTGACCTGCATTTGTTGATGTATATGAGGTAGACGAACTAGGTCACCTACGAAGTCCAAATCGTCTAGTTGCATACAATCTGTCCATTGGATTCCGTGCTTCCTCTCAGATGTGGTGGTCTCCATAATTCCAGCCAACCATCAGATGAAGAAAGCGAGGGAGTGAGCAAACCTGTCTGACACCGATCTTCATTTGGAATCTATCTATCAACTGTCCTCCATGCATGACTTTGCAGTGTAGTCTGTCAGATGAATTCCTTGTGATGTTGACGATTTTCTTAGGCACAGCAGTAGTGTCTATGAAGGTTCCGTACAGTTCGCCTATCCACACTGTCAAACACTTTCTTATAGTCAAGGAAGTTGATGTATAGTGATGATTTTTATTTAACTGATTATTTAGTGATGATCCGTGGTGTATACCGTAATCAGATGTGAGTAAAGTACAATTTTGAACCAAATATATTTGAGAAATCATAGGTTGACACATCTGACTATCTCCAAACATAATAATTTGCTGTCATTCAAGCACAAAAGATAATTCAATCAAATTACATGGAACTAATCAGGATTTTATTTACAGTCATGTGACATCTTTCTTGTAGTCAAGGATGGTAATGTATGGTGATGGTTTCTATTTACTTTATTGCTAAACAATGATCAATAGTGTCAAGTCTTTGTCGATGCACTATTGATCCTTACGGATTCCAGTCTGTTGATCTCAAAGTTAGGTGTCTTCTAAAGTTAACTTTTCATAATACTGAAATAAATGTTTAACCAATTTATTAGTTAGTAATATTATTGTTTTATAAAATAGAAGTATTTGACCAGAAATAAAAATGTTTTCTCATAAAACTTCATTAATTATTCACGTATATACTACTTCTGAAATGTCACATAACTAGAATATGAATTAAATTTTGTTTACATCAAAATGTTAAACAGGTTGCCTACGCGTTTCGCATATTTCTTCCAAGTTTTAGGTTTGAAATTTTATTTTTAATTACTGTGACATTTTAGTTTATAGTTAAAAGATAGTTGTATTCAACTGTTTTATAGACCTGTCAAAGAAAACGCATTCATTTTGCTTGACTCTACCAGCAATTACAATAGACAGTCGAAAAGTTGTGCGCAAACTTTCCGATAATACTGTTAATTACAGACCAATGAGAAGCTGCAATTTGAGTTATGGATTCATCCTGTCTGAGGAGACTTCAAATAATGGAGACGATCATTCTAGTAAATCCAGAAAACCTCGTTCATTCGCTTCTTCAAGTTCATCAATATCCATATCAGGATCTGTCCCAGCTTCAACATCATCATCATCATTTAATCAAAGAAAACATGTAGTAAAAGAATTAGTGAAAACACAAGTGGACTTTGTATCAGATATGAAAAATGTCTTGACTGCATTTGATTCTGTTAGTTTAACGGTAATAAACAGCTTATTTTACCTGTTTTTTTATTCACAATCTTTTTATTACTTTTTCAAAAAATTCATTTCCAAACATCATTAGAGATTAATATGCATAATGAATATTCATTAATTCACATTTTAAATCGCTTGATTTTATTTCAGTGTTCTGGACATCTGATTTAAAAATAGTCACAAAAATTATACAAAATACCTTTACAATTGATGACGTAATCTCTCCACATTATTTTGAACACAAAACGGTTATCACTAATACTGACATAACTATTTTGATTTTGAAAGAAATGTTATGTAGTTTTACATATTTCTGCAATACAAACGATAATTTAGTAAAACAACACGAACCTGCTAAGTATAGATTATCTACAATGTCGTCTGAATATCAAAAACTTCATAAAATCATGTATGTATACAAAAATTAGTTAGATTCATTTTGGACAATCTGAGAAATAAAGATGTGTCGTGTTAATTAACAGTAATCTCGAAAAGTTGAAAAACCCAATATTCGATAGAAAAGAGAATCCAGATCGTCAAGCAATAAATCAGGTTTACTGACTTTTAAATGATCTGGTCACATAACTGCCTAGATTGATGAGCTTATGACGAAATGATAGTTTATGTGCCAACCGATATCGGACCCATAAACGGAATTAATAATTCCATAGAAAAAATCGATTTAGTAAATGTTTTTATCACAGTAATTAGGCCAACATGTGCATATTTTATACTCAACGTTAATAAAAGTGAACACTTAATTTTTATTAATTATTTTTTAGTCTCTTACGACACAGTACCCTGAATCACAGTAACATTATCAGTTTTAAGTTTCATTACTGGACTAGGGGTGGTAATCACGCGAAATATACCGCTTAATTGTATTTTGATGTTGAGGTGAATAGATATTAAGAGTTATCAAATCTTTAGCCTTCTCAAAAATGTTTGAACCATCATGAGTAATACAATTTAGATGAGAACACATTCAATAGTGGAAACTTTATGCAGTTATCTATCATATCGAAGCTCTCCTATCACAGATGGATTAAGCCTAATTCATTACAAGTTGTTGATCTAATAAACACTCACTGGTTTCCACGTTAAAAAATCCACAAGCATATATATAAACATAAACATCTATTGGGAATAAGACCTTGGTTACTAAATAAAGAAATCGATTCCCTCCATCATCACTTTAGCGTCAATTCAACAAAGTTTCACCGAGCAAAATAGTAATTTATCTCTCCATCAGGTTACTGAATCTAATCGATATACATTGTTGGGAAATTTGGATCAATTGGTGCGTGTTTCTGAAGATATTTCAACGGAGTTACAAAAAGAAATATCTACATATAGTGATGACCAACTTGGTAATGCTTGTATCGGTAAGATGTTAGTTAGCACATATATTCTTATATATCTTATTTAAAATTACCCCATTTGAAAATATTATATCTTTAAAACAGCTTAATGTGTAATACAACTTTTTTAGTAAAATATATATAATTTAGACACTGTCACGTTATAGACATTTAGAATTGTCCTTACAATAATTACGGTAATTACATATTAGGCTCACAAATGTAAAACAAATGACTTCATTTCATGAGCCTACGTCATGATGAAACTATATTGATTTGTCACTTTGTTGAGAAAAACTATGAAGTACATGAAGAAAGTTTACCAGGTTTATCTTTACACTTTTTATCACTAAAGATAAAAATTATTCCAACGGAAATGGTTTCTGCACTTATCTGTCTTGGTATTTATCTGAAGTCTCTCTCTCTCTCTCTCTCTCTCTCTCTCTCTCTATATATATATATATATATATATATATATATATATATATATATATATATATATATATGAGGGCTTGTCTTGTGACGCAGTTCGGTGTTTTCCTCAATGTGTGTCCTATCCACTTCCAGCGCTTCTTCCTGATTTCTTCCTCCACTGGGATCTGATTTGTTCTCTCCCACAGTAGGTTGTTGCTTATAGTGTCCGGCCAGCGGATCCGAAGTATTTTGCGTAGACAACTGTTAATAAACACCTGTATCTTTTGGACGATGGATTTCGTAGTTTTCCAGGTTTCCGCCCCATACAGTAGAACCGTCTTGACATTTGTATTGAAAATTCTGACTTTGGTGTTGGTTGCTAATTGTTTCGAGTTCCAGATATTCTTCAGTTGTGAATATGCTGCTCTTGCTTTGCCAATCCGTGCCTTCACATCTGCATCAGATCCACCGTGTTCATCGATGATACTGCCCAAATATGTAAAGGTTTTTACATCTTCCAAAGCTTCTCCGTCAATTGTGATTGGATTGGTGCATGCTGTGTTGTATCGAAGAATCTTGCTTTTCCCTTTGTGTATATTGAGACCTATTGCTGTTGAGGCTGCAGCTACACTGGTTGTCTTTTCCTGCATTTGTTGTTGCGTATGCGATAGAAGAGCCAGATCATCTGCGAAGTCTAGATCATCCAATTGCATCCTCTTCCAGTTGCTCAATAGCCTCGTAGTATGTAATACTTATTTGCACTACAAGCACAGAAATTAAGATTTTAGTAAATAAATTAATGTTAAAAATTGTTTTTTTGAAGGTATGAAAATTAACGTGAAAATGGTTGGAATGTTTTGTAGATTCAGAAATATGTTGTTTCCATTACTTGAGTTAGCGCTTTTAGGATAACCAGTATTGACTGGAATTATATGTGCAGTATATATCTACTAGCTAAACTTATTATAAGATGATGTTTTTATACACAGTCTTACGATAACGTGATATATATATATATATATATATATTGCTGAAAATAGTCAACTAATATACTTGATTTTTTTGTATGCGGCTGTGGATACAACTGCCTTTTTTTTTAATAGCTACATGTATAAATTCGTTCAGATTATCTATAAATGAAGCATTGAAGACGTATATCTTAAATTTTTCAGTAGATGCTTCCACAAAGGTTAGTTAATTACCGTTATTCATTGATCGATATATTGAGTAATAACATCTGTTCTCTTTCTGAGTTTCATAAATAAATAAAAAACAATTCTTCAACATGTATTGTGTAATAATTCAATTATATGTTTGAGTTTAAATGAGAGAATTGATTTATACCATTAGTAGTATTTTTGGTAAAAGATTGACATAGAAATTGTGAACTATCTAATGCCATACATATAGGTTATAAAACAACCGCGTTTTATACACTTGTATTATGCCACATAATATTTAACGTCCTTAAAAATCAATACATGAAAATAACCCACTAAAATGTAGCACACTTAGTAGTATCCATTGTTTATCAGCAATCAGAAAAATAACTAGTTACCGTAGTGTAAGTGAATCGGTAGCACAGAGATTGATATAGAAATTTTGGAAAGTTTCATGAACAACTAAACAATATTATAACAATTGAACATAATTTACTAAACATAGTTCAACAACATTCCAAGTTACACTTATATTTCGGTTTCTTCTTGGAAGGAGACTGTGACATACCTATGATATGATATAAAATTAGTTCAATTATTTTGTCTTTTATTCAGATGAATATATTTTTCTTTTCAGAATACAGAAATTCAAACATTTTCAGTACTTGGTTTCAAAAATCTACAAAGCGAACGTCCAAATATATTGACTTTAAATGATGAATTAATCAAACCTGTTCAAAGATTAGTTAAGCTGAAACAACTGTTTGAATTATTGAAAGATGTGAGTACGTATACAAAATAAATATTTAGATAAGAAATCTATTACATCCATTAATTGGTTCTCGTTCATGTCATTTGACTGAAGCTTAAAAAACCACTTAATACTCTTATTATTCAGACTAGAAACTGCTAATTTACCACTTTCATTTCTAACAGCTAATTATTTTTGTATTTTAAAGAGACCCAGTTAAAGCTCTGGACATTAAATTCCTCTCAATTTCGTAAACAACACCCCTGTCGCGAGAAGACAGTGAGTAGGCCTTCACTGGCAGTGGCTCTATACGCGTGGCCATGTGAGAGCATTTGAAAGGAAGAGTTGACTCACCCCTCGCTCGGCCATACAAGGACATTCGCTTTTTATAAGTATCTTTAATTCATTGTTTAATATTATTCTTAGCCTCTACTCTTTTTCGTGAAATATTCTATTATAGATTTACATGTAAACATAGACGAGACGTATTAGGAATTAGCCTTTACGCAATAATATAGCATCAATATCTTGAATTCCTGTTGTGGGGAATTGAATTCAACATTTAAGATTTAAAATATATTGCAAACAAACACAACATTTATCATGTTAAATATTCACTATTTGTAGAATAGGTTAGTTTTTATCTAAAATCTACTACAAATGACATTTTTACTACAGAACTAACTACTCTGTATCAGGACATTTGTTCGAGTATTTTGAAGCTAATTAGTAATGAGTCTGCGGTTTTTATGTAATGATGTGGCTGTATGAAAATGTTTATACAGTGAGTAAGTAGTCATCGTGAACACGACATCAGTCAAAGAACTATATATACAACTATTTTTTGTTCGATATTTAGGTAACACCGATAAATCATCCAGATTGTTTAGCAACTACGCAGATGTTCAATAACTTTGATCAATTAGCCTATGAAGTGAATGAAGTGAAACGATGGAAAGAGATTTGTAAGTATTATTCCAAATCGTTTAATTCCTACATGTATCCTATAGTTACATTTATATATATATATATATATATATATATATATATATATATATATATATATATATATATATATATATATATATGAATTTTTACACGATGCACTGTCAAACACCTTAATTTTAAATATTTGTAGTTAAATACGAATATATAATGAGAATATCACGAACAGATCATTGTTTTGAAACAAAGCAACCATATCAAAAATGATATTAGGATCACTTATGACACTAGATGATCAGTTGGGTATAACTCAAATCGACAGAAGTTCAAAAAGTGAAGGGTTGAATTTCGACTCATTATTTCAGTGGGAAGTTACCTTCAAATAATTTTAACAAACTTAGATCTTTTACTTTCTGGCCATTTGAAACCTCAAGGAAGCTGGTGTTTATCTGGTATTAGCACTTACCTCATAAGCCGTAATCACTTTCGTCAAAAATTACACAGAAATCAGTTTATTTTCCATGAGGAACAAAGCGGTCAAACACTAATTATAATTTCCTAAAGCATAGTAATTTTGATGTATGTATATACAATTCAGTTTTTAACTCCACCGATTATTCAGTTGAACATAGTTTCAGCTTCAGAAATAAAGTCATATTGTATCGTAAAAATATTAACTGTTGTTATTCAAGTGTTCCATTTTAAACCACATATTATAATGAAGGTGTACAAAGAATGTGATAAGAATTCACCTAAGTAGTTATACAAAACACATGATCATTGAACATTGTGAATATTTTGACAATCTTTATGTCGTTGACTATCTCCAAGTCTTAAATAACTATGTTTATGCAGGGTATAACATCTAAATCTTTAATAAAATCTTAGGATGCAACTGAAAAGCTTTAGAACTTATAATGTCTTATTGTATGAAATTATGTATTAGGAACTAGTACATAGATTATAGTTGTCCAAAAATGTACACGTAGATGGTTGTCACGAGACCAATTACGTTGGCGGGTTTTAAATACGCTTTATTCGTTTACAAAATTTTGAACCTGAAGTGTTATTCTGCTTTTATTCTACAACACAAAGTCCACCTTGAGAAGTCATACTTCATCTAAAACTGTGACTTTTACACTTTGATAAATTAACAACAATGTGTTTACTCCTATGTGTTTACGAATTTATTATCGGTAAAGAGTTGGCTTATGATAGCTGTGCTATTGGATGTATATGTCAGAAATCTTGTATTTATTTAAATAGAGTGTCTGTTTAATTTGTATGTGAGTAAACTTATTATAAACTAACCATAATAATAATACAAATTAAACTTTACACAAGAATTTCTTTAGCATTATTGTTTTTATTTCCATTAACTTTTATAGGTGCCAGTGTTTCTGAAGAAACGCGAAAATATTCCCTATTTCAATTAGTTGACAAGAGCACTAAAAGAATAATAGCAAAGGCTGCACGTAGCTCAGGCTCAGAAGCTACTCGTAAAGTAAGATCGCATTTAAGTGGTAGTTTTCTCAATAGCTAAACAGTTTCCAATATCAAGACCAAAATACCAAATGAATTCTACTAATCGAATCGTCAACATAACCGGTTGGTTAAATCATTTGATACCTCAATGGAATATATTGAATATTTGAAAACAGTCCGTTGGAAGTCCCTAAATTACATTCTATTCTTTTCAGGATATCTGGAACTACAAAATAGTCTAAACGTTTTATGGATTAAAACTAACTTTAGTCAAGAATTTAAAACAATTAATCCCTTTTATAAATTTCGATAGAACAATGAGAAGACGGAGTTGATCTGAAAAATGTGATGTATTTGCGCTATACATTTCGAACAATCTGGTCACACATATTCTTGTCAGGGCATTTTATATAAAAATTTTATAAAGGTCAATTACATAAAAGTTAAAGTACAAACAAACAAACAAAATTAACAAAGGGGAGAGAAAGAATAAGAAATTGTCGCATTATCCTAGGCCATAGAATGACTCAAGGATTACCAAGGTAAATTCAAGGTTACGACAAATTGTTTTTGTACACATAAAGGGGGCTTAAATTTACGAATAGCCAAGGCTTCAATAAACTTAAGAATTCGTCCTTGACAATTTCTATACAACGTTTTAAAAGCTGCATTAATATTAATTTTGTGCCCCGTTTCAATTATATGTTTCGCTATCCATGACCCTAGTTTTCTACCACCCACGTTGATGGGATCGTTTGACACACATTGATTTCGAAGCCATTTAGGCACATGTTCATTGACGTTTACAGATTATTGGATAAACTCAATAGTGTTCAAGATGATATCGTGATGACACATGAAGCAGAAAGTAAAGGCAAATTGGCTTTTTTAGACATACTTTTAAGTCGAAGGGATGATGGCACTATTAGACGGTCAGTGTATAGGAAATCTACCTGGACGGGGCAATACTTAAATTTCCATAGTTTTGTCCATTGCAATACAAACGAGGCTTGGTTAAGTGTCTCTTTAAAAGGACTCAAAGGATTCGTACATCTGACACGGTGGAAAAAGATGAGAAGTTACTGACTGACACATTAATAGCAAATGGTTATCCATTAAAGTTTATTAATAGGTGCAAAAGTCAGTTAATGCCAAGACCTCTTGTTTATTCGGTCCTAAAGAAAAAAGTTTATATCAATCTACCATATAGAGGTGAATCTAATAGCATAGTTTTAAGACAGAGATTGAAAGCAGCGATCGAGAATACCTATTATGCTGCTCAATTGATTGTGATGGAAAAGTCCAAGGCCATGATTCCTAGTAGACCCAGACAATGCACCAATGATTACGTCACATCCCATTGTATTTACCAATTTACATGTTTGTGTGGACACACATACATAGGGAGGAGTAATCGAACAATGCAATCAAGGGTCAATGAACATGTGCCTAAATGGCTTCGAAATCAATGTGTGTCAAACGATCCCATCAACGTGGGTGGTAGAAAACTAGGGTCATGGATAGCGAAACATATAATTGAAACGGGGCACAAAATTAATATTAATGCAGCTTTTAAAACGTTGTATAGAAATTGTCAAGGACGAATTCTTAAGTTTATTGAAGCCTTGGCTATTCGTAAATTTAAGCCCCCTTTATGTGTACAAAAACAATTTGTCGTAACCTTGAATTTACCTTGGTAATCCTTGAGTCATTCTATGGCCTAGGATAATGCGACAATTTCTTATTCTTTCTCTCCCCTTTGTTAATTTTGTTTGTTTGTTTGTACTTTAACTTTTATGTAATTGACCTTTATAAAATTTTTATATAAAATGCCCTGACAAGAATATGTGTGACCAGATTGTTCGAAATGTATAGCGCAAATACATCACATTTTTCAGATCAACTCCGTCTTCTCATTGTTCTATCGAAAGTAACTTTAGTCAGTTTGTTATGCTAAGTAGGCTGTTTTTTCATAGCAAATGAAAAGTAGTGAAGATAATGAAAATCCATTTTGGTAACACGAGTATTAATCTGTAAACAGTAATGATATGTATTTCAAAACCACTTGTTCATATTGGTTATTTAGCATACATTGTGAAGTATGCTAGTTAAACATCTCTATAGAAGTCAGATTATTATAAACTGCTAACAATAAACATCCAACGGTTTCATATCAGTCAACTGTCGACTAAGTTAGAAGTTGCAACAACATTCTTTTATTCCAAAAGACGTTAACAAACTGCGATTTGATTTAGTAATGAAATTCTTAAAAATAACTCCAATAGTATTGATTTTGTGTGCAATTCTACAAAATACTTATATATATATACTAATACTTTGTTTCTAAACCTATTGCAACTAATGTATCTTTTCTAACCGATACAAGAAAAATTAATGATACTAAGAATTTAAAAAACCTAGTTTTGTTGATTTTACAAAATCTTTAGCTGTATAAAACTTCTGTTCTTTTGGAAATCCAATCTAAGATAACTAGTTTCTGTTAAAAATAGAACTGTAAACTCTTGTAGAATATCTTCATTGTTGCTTGAATTTTAAGTGTTTTACATACAACACTGACCAGTTCTATCAAGAAATATTGCTGTTTGTATCAAGCAGTTTGTGTTTATTTTGAAGAGAAATAGTTCAACGACTGTTAATGATTGATTAGGTCCTGTCTCTATATTACCTGATCGGATTATCAATCGTTATTCTTGATAACTAAATTGACTTCGACTTCGTTTCTGAAAGTAGTTATAGCTTAATAATATTTGAGAATAAATCAATTGCACTACTCTAAATAGAAAATTAAAGTTCTGAGTTTTCAGTGAATGGATTGGCCGGAAAATTTACTTAAGCTTTTTAATTATTGTGGAATACACTTGATGCTGAATAATGCAAGCTCAAATCCATAGGGTAATATCAACTATTACAAAGACATGCCTGTGGTGAATACGAACTAAGAAGAAACTTATGTTACGTTTTCCTTCAGACTGCCTTCAACTACCTAACACTAAGACGTAATGTTTGGGACGATGATATACATATGCTATTGACCGTAGTACAACGGGATCGATAGAGCACTACAAGCGTTAAGTGAACAGACAAATATAAAAGTTGTTATTCCCAAGAGATTATTTAGTATTTAATCGACGCTAAACTAAACCATAAATTTGGCTACTAGCTAAAGATTCGTTTTAAATAAGTTATTGTCCAGGTATTTAAACATCAGTATGCACCACTTTTTATTCAAAACCGAAAATACGTAATGTTTTACGTGAACCAGAGTTGAGTTCTTGCCTAGACAATGATTGTTTTAATCGACAGTTGCACTGTTAATTTTTTCTACTGTTGTTTTCATTTGTCGGCAGATTCAACAAAGGTTTCTAACAGAACGAGAAGCCATAAATCATATTGAGAAATCATGTGCATTACTACAGAGTGCTGTTGAGTCTCGATGTAAAAAAACTCGGGTAAGACCTTACATTCAATCACGTAAGGAACAAGTCAGTTATCCATGATTATATAAAACGTCTGGGATTAAAGAAAGCATTCACAGAATGCTGAATTTGTGTCTTAAAATTTTGAGACTTGCCAAGGTCTTGTTTTAATTATAGATACAGTGCTGTGGCTTCTTGAAGTTGAAAAGGTAGCTGTTTATTTGTTTTCTAGTTGATGTCAGTTATTGATACAAAATATACTTCCGTTTGGCTAAATAAAACAATCCTTTTTCATTTTATCCTTCATTTGAAGTCGATGTATTTTATATTTTCAGTAATTACCCTTTTCCTGGATTAAAACAACTAAACATATGATTAAAACACCATGATGGGTACATAGTAACAAATAAACAAGTGTCCTCAAGTTGTAAGTGTCAAAGTTATGAACAGCCATGATAAAAAGCACCAGATATACCGATGTGATATTGAGTTATCGTTAGTTAAGTATCAATTCGTGTGTTTCTTATTAAACAAAATTCTACATTAAATTATGTTATACTGATGATAAAAGATATTTCAACAATAGTTTAGTGATAAATAAATTTCACATGTCTTGCAGTATTTTGTATATTGACATTTTGCTTACCTTGCTATTAACACGTATAGCTATGAGTGACCGCTAGGCAATATCTCAAATTAAAAACCTTAATACAGCTACTGATTGAACTTGCTAAGTTCTAAGTTGGATAATTACCCAATCTTCTTGTGTAGTTTAAATGTTCGTTGAGGAAAATCAAGATTTTACGTAATGACTTTAGAATCTAAAATGTACTATAATCAACACAATCAATCTTTAGATATGATTTTAGACCGAGAAGGGATTCTGTCTGCATTCAGCATGAAGCACTTTCATAGTGTTGGGTTATTATAGCAAGCTTAAATTCTATATTGTCTTACAATAAACTCGGGAATAAGTTAGAACCCCGATGCTATTACATGAATGTCTTTCCAATTTTCCACTTTTGGCACTTTATTCGTGTTATATTTTAGCAAATTTGATTGCTCTTTTAAACAAGTTCAGGTAAACGATAAAGTTTCTCACTGCTTAAATACTCATATTTAAAATCTAAGTACTAAATTGTATCAGTTAACAATAAATAGTTTACTTAAACGATCTACTGGAGTTTATCTTAACTTAGCACATTTAGTATAAAGGCTATGTTCATTTTCTAATAAGCAATTTAGCTAGTGTTCCATTTATCGTGAATTACCTAACAAGATCTTGTTAATAATTGAAATCGCTAAATAACTTGACTGATAACTTATAATCCATTAATCAAGGCACTATTTATGAACTAAAATATAATCATCAGCATAATTATTTTAATTTTTCCAGATGACTAAATTACACTTAAAAAAATCAAAAACATTGGGTAATATATATATGAATACGTTAGAGAAGGTTATATTTTATCCTTATTGCCGAAATCAGGATGCATTTTGTATTATCAATAATTCCTCAGCAACTAACATTAAACGATAAATGGCTTCATTTTCATAACCATGAAATATAATTCTCTTCTTTAATCAAATTCGTTTTTGTTAACAAATAAATTTAAAATTAGAAATCCTCTAATTTAGCTTTGAATTTTTCTTTTCTATCAAAATTTCTCACTTGAATATATAAATTTATTTTAATTATTGTTTTTAATTTATAGAGATTTATATTGGCACAGAAAGACTTTATCTCTTTAATGAAAAAAGTATTTTTACAACGAAGCACAATTAAACTTCATTCTGATATACCAACAAATAATTGTTCATTAAATGAATTACCTATCGATCTAATAACAAATTGTGAAATTGCATTTGATACATTAATTCATTATATGAATGATATATATGTAAGTTATGCACATCATTATTTTCATAATTCTATTTAATTTCTTTAGTAGATTATAATTTTTATAAAAATTTCTTTTCAAAATTGATTGTATGTTAATTAAATAGTACTTAACAGTGAAATTAAACACTTATGTTACATATCATACAAAAGCTTACTAGCTATATGTACCTAGGTTTCAGTTTTGATGAATATAGCATTAAAATCGTATTAGATGTTGAGTTTTGTTTAATTTGTTGTTTTTGAAACTATTTTTCAATTAAGTTTTTATTTCATTTCATTCTGATTTGTGGAACATTTAAAATCCTCGCCCATTCCAAATCACTGAATTATACTTCAAAATCAGAAAATAATTTACTACAGTATTCATAATATTACTGAACATTTTAGGTTGTTTATCTTATCGAATTATTCTGAACAAGGCTTTAAATGATCAATTTTGATTAATAAAACGTTATTTTTATCTTTCTCGTACTATTGGTTTATTATATCTTTGTGTGAATTCATCTGGATATGACTGACGATCTACATTTTATCAGAAAGAGATTTAATGTATATTACATTGAACACAGTAAAACAATTACTGAAAATATTAAAATATTAGACTGCCATTTTTATATGGTGGGAAACTTTCTAATTGATGCGCACTCACGATTACAGAAAAAAGTCATAGCTATGGTCCTGAATTTTCACGACAACCGGCAGCTTGAACAACAAATATTTATACGTAACGTGACTGTAAATAAAATCCTGATTAGTTCCATGTAATTTGATTGAATTATCTTTTGTGCTTGAATGACAGCAAATTATTATGTTTGGAGATAGTCAGATGTGTCAACCTATGATTTCTCAAATATATTTGGTTCAAAATTGTACTTTACTCACATCTGATTACGGTATACACCACGGATCATCACTAAATAATCAGTTAAATAAAAATCATCACTATACATCAACTTCCTTGACTATAAGAAAGTGTTTGACAGTGTGGATAGGCGAACTGTACGGAACCTTCATAGACACTACTGCTGTGCCTAAGAAAATCGTCAACATCACAAGGAATTCATCTGACAGACTACACTGCAAAGTCATGCATGGAGGACAGTTGATAGATAGATTCCAAATGAAGATCGGTGTCAGACAGGTTTGCTCACTCCCTCGCTTTCTTCATCTGATGGTTGGCTGGAATTATGGAGACCACCACATCTGAGAGGAAGCACGGAATCCAATGGACAGATTGTATGCAACTAGACGATTTGGACTTCGTAGGTGACCTAGTTCGTCTACCTCATATACATCAACAAATGCAGGTCAAAACACCTACTGAAGTAGTAGCCTCCACAGCAGTTAGCATCAACATGCATAAAGGAAAAGGCAACATCCTCAAATACAACGCGGAGAACACCAACATAATCACACTCGATGGGGAAACTCCGGAATAGTTGGGAACTTTCACATATCTGGACAGCATCCGCGACAAACAAGAAGGATTGGCAGAGCAATGACGATATTCCTGCAACTAAAGAACACATGGAACTCAAAACAACTGTGTGCGAGCCATCACGAAATTCAGAATCTTCAATACGAACGTCAAGACAGTTCAGATGTACAGACCTGAGACTTAGAAAACTACCACAACCAACATCGAAATAGTACAGGTATTTATAAACAGTTGTCTACTCAAAATACTCAACGTCCGCTGGTCGGATGCTATCAGAAACAGCCTACTGTATGAGAGAACGAACCAACTTCCATCTGAAGAGGGACTTGGGAAAACTCGTTGGAAGTGTATAGGACATACACTGAGGAAATGATCAGACTGTATTGTGAGGTGAACGCTGAATTCGAATCCCGAATGGAACCTAAAAATAGGAAGACCAAGAAACACATTGTTTCGAGAATTGGAAGCACACACTGAAAGAATGAACGGTGACTGGAGATAGCTTCAAGGGATGACTTAGGACAGGGTTGGCTGTGGAATGCTGGTGGGCGACCTAGGCTACTCCACGATGGTTAACAGGCGTAAGTAAGTTATTAAATGATTACGTTATGAACCAGACGACGAACATTTAATATATTATGCACTTCTGTTTTTTTCATGAACTTGTATTGCAGTTGAGAAAACTGTCATCTAGTGTAGTTAATCGTTTAAGTGAATTGAAAAAATTAATAAACCTTTCAAAGCGTCTTTTGGATAAATACGATAATACAGAATTGAACATTGTTTTAATGGAAGCTTCAATGAAAAACCATAAAAATGTTGTAAGTTTAGTCAAGAAATATTATCTTTTCAATGATTAACTATACATATGTGTATTGCTTCACATTTTATTAGAATAATTTATGAAATCTATAACATGCAATTTTCTTACTTTTTAGTTTACGATTTGTAAAATAAAATGTAACATCATACTTACATATCTGGTCATTTTTAGTAATCGAGACAATAAACAATTTCATTTTAGAGGGCATCAGTAAAAAATAACATCACATCATGTCGAACAATGAAAAAACATTGTATAAAAGACAAAACGATCAAGTAGGATAGGTATTTCATGGATTTTTCTTTGCTTATGCATGTTATTTATATAGTACAAAAGATACACTAAAAAGCAAAGCTAAAAATTCAAATTATATGCTACTAATCAATAAAATTATACTGAATGACATGATTTCTGGTATATTATTTAAGGAATTTCAGTGATTTTCTATGTGTTGTTCCGGTGAAAGTTTCAGCTTATCGTGTGCTACCACACAATTGATAGGTAATTTTTTCCTTAAATATTCATCTTAAGAATCAAAAACTAAAATTGAGTTAAGATTGTTATAATAAAATACGAGTATAACTATGTCGCATGAATTAAAAGTGATAATTTGATAGTTTATACGGAGAAGAAATAAAGTAAACTGAAAAACCCAGAAAATTAGTAGTTAGTTTTCTTCCATTTTCTATACCTAATCCTATAACAATACATCGATTTTACCCCTAGAAAAACATTTTTCTAAGGCAATATAAATAGAGTAAAATAACTTACTTACTTACGCCTGTTACTCCCAATGGAGCATAGGCCGCCGACCAGCATTCTCCAACCCACTCTGTCCTGGGCCTTCTTTTCTAGTTCCATCCAATTCTTGTTCATTTTTCTCATATCTATCTCCATTTCTCGGCGTAATGTATTCTTTGATCTTCCTCTCTTCCTTCGACCTTGAGGATTCCATATGAGGGCTTGTCTTGTGACGCAGTTGGGTGTTTTCCTCAATGTGTGTCCTATCCACTTCCAGCGCTTCTTCCTGATTTCTTCCTCCACTGGGATCTGATTTGTTCTCTCCCACAGTAGGTTGTTGCTTATAGTGTCCGGCCAGCGGATCCGAAGTATTTTGCGTAGACAACTGTTAATAAACACCTGTATCTTTTGGACGATGGATTTCGTAGTTTTCCAGGTTTCCGCCCCATACAGTAGAACCGTCTTGACATTTGTATTGAAAATTCTGACTTTGGTGTTGGTTGCTAATTGTTTCGAGTTCCAGATATTCTTCAGTTGTGAATATGCTGCTCTTGCTTTGCCAATCCGTGCCTTCACATCTGCATCAGATCCACCGTGTTCATCGATGATACTGCCCAAATATGTAAAGGTTTTTACATCTTCCAAATCTTCTCCGTCAATTGTGATTGGATTGGTGCATGCTGTGTTGTATCGAAGAATCTTGCTTTTCCCTTTGTGTATATTGAGACCTATTGCTGCTGAGGCTGCAGCTACACTGGTTGTCTTTTCCTGCATTTGTTGTTGAGTATGCGATAGAAGAGCCAGATCATCTGCGAAGTCTAGATCATCCAATTGCATCCTAGCTATCCACTGTATCCCGTGCTTCCCTTCAGATGTTGATGTCTTCATGATCCAGTCGATCACCAGGAGAAAGAGAAAGGGTGAGAGTAAGCAACCTTGCCTGACACCTGTCTTTACTTCGAACTACTTTGTCAACTGTCCTCCATGCACGATTTTGCAGTTTAATCCATCATAGGAATTCTGTATGATATTGACTATCTTCTGAGGCACGCCGTAGTGTCGAAGAAGCTTCCATAGGGTTGTTCTGTCCATGCTATCAAATGCTTTTTCGTAGTCGATGAAGTTGATATAGAGTGATGAATTCCATTCAATTGATTGTTCCACAATGATCCGTAGAGTTGCGATTTGGTCTGTGCACGATCTATCCTTACGGAATCCTGCATGTTGGTCTCGAAGTTGTGCGTCTACGGAGTCCTTCATCCTGTTTAACAATACCCTGTTGAAGACTTTTCCCGGTATTGAAAGAAGAGTGATTCCCCTGTAGTTGTCACAGTTGTTGAGATAGCCTTTCTTTGGTATTTTGACTAGAAGTCCTCCTTTCCAGTCTTTTGGTACCTGTTCCTCATCCCAGATCTTTCTGAAGAGAATGTGGAGTATCCTTGCAGTTGCCGCTACGTCTGCTTTCAGTGCCTCTGCTGGAATGCTGTCTAGTCCTGCTGCTTTGCCACTCTTGATTTGTCTGATAGCCATGCTGATTTCTTCAATTGTTGGTGCGCCAACATCAATTGGGAGGTCCGTGAGTGCTGCCTCGATGTTGAGTGGGTTCAGTGGGGCTGGTCGATTCAAGAGTTCTTTGAAGTGTTCTACCCACCTGTTTCGTTGTTCTTCAATGTTGGTGATTATCTTGCCTTCCTTGCTTTTCACTGGTCGTTCTGGTTTACGGTGATTTCCGGAGAGTTTCTTTGTTGTGTCATACAGTTGTCTCATGTTTCCTTCTCTGGCAGCCTTTTCCGCCGTCAATGCCAAATCTTCCACATATTTACGTTTGTCAGTTCTGATGCTCCTTTTCACTTGCTTGTTTACTTCTGTGTATTCAGCCTGTGCCTTGACTTTTTCTGCTCTTGTTCGACTGGTATTGATTGCTGCTTTCTTGTTCCTCCTTTCTTAAATCTTATCCAGTGTATCGACCGTGATCCAATCCTTGTGATGGTGCTTCTTTTGGCCCAGAACCTCATGACATGTTGAAGTGATTGCCCCTTTTATCTTTTTCCAGTTGCTCTCCATAGTAGTTTCTTCATTGAGTAGATCATGATAGGCCTGGAACTTATCGCTGAGGGTTATTTTGAATTTATTGAGTTTGTCGTTATCCCGAAGAAGAGCCGTATTAAACTTTTGTGCTGACATCCACCCCGTTGTCCAGTGCCTCTTGAGTTTCAATTTCATCTTGGAGACCAGCAAGTGATGATCTGATGCTATATCAGCTCCTCTCTTTGTTCTCACGTCCTCCATCGTCCTCCTGAACTTTTTGTTGATGCAGATATGGTCGATTTGGTTCTGTATGCTGTGATCCGGTGAAGTTCTTGTGGTTTTGTGAATGCGTTTATGTGGGAATATAGTGCCACCTATGACCAGTTTATTGAAGACACATAGATTTGCAAATCTCTCACCATTTTCGTTCCTTTCTCCCAGTCCGTGTCGTCCTATGATCTCTTCATATCCGGTGTTGTCAATTCCAACCTTGGCATTTAGGTCTCCCATCAGAATGGTCAGGTCTTTTGTTGGGCACTTCTCGACGATTGACTGCAGCCTATCGTAGAATTGATCTTTAGCGTCTTCATTGTAGTCGTTGGTAGGCGCGTAGCATTGGATGACGTTCATTGTAATGCCCGTTTTCTTTGTTTTGAAGGAGGCTTTGATGATCCTTGGTCCATGAGATTCCCATCCTATAAGTGCATTTTGTGCTTGTTTGGACAGCATCAATGCAACTCCTTGTGTATGTGGGGCATTTTCTTGTTCATGTCCGGAGTATAACAGCAGCCCCCTGAAGCTAGTCGTTGTTGTCCAACTTGCGTCCAATGTGTTTCACTGATCCCAAGCACCTCTAAATTGTATCTCCTCATTTCTGCAGCAAATTAGAAAACTCTCCCAGTCTCCCACATTGTGCGAGCATTCCATGTACCTAAATAAATGGTTGCTCTGGTTGTCAGAAGGGGCATCGGCCTCGTGACTTCCGAAGAAACTCGGCTTTCATCATGAGGCGTCATAATTCTTCTAAACGAAGACCTCCTGACTCCCAGGGCAGAGTTTAAATGGTTTGAATAATTTTTTCTGGTTAGCGTTTTTTTAGCGAGTTAGTTTTCTACGGGATGGGGTCGCTAACCCCATGCCCAACCGTCCTCCTTTATCCGGGCTTGGGACCGGCAGTAGCCCATTGAAAGGGACTCCAGGCGGAGTTAGAGTAAAATAAGGCTTGGTTTTAAACTCACCAACGTTGAAAGACTCATTTACTTAAATTCCGTCACAGAGGTTTCATTTAGTATGAATTAATTCGCCTTTATTATTCATTGTTACATGAAATTTGTACCGCATTACACATAGAATTAGTGGAAATATACCACTTTGCTTATCAACCTAGCAGATCATATCTTATTGATTACATTTATAACTAACTAAGAGACCACACATCGAATGAACTGATTATCTACCATGTTGAGCCAGTTATTTTTTTCAACATGATTATATTTACTCATTACTGGGTTTAGTTTACAGTCGCATGATTGCAATCATATTGTGTTTAAATTCATTAAATGATATTTATCTCTGTTAGAAATAAAATAACGAGTAGTTTGAAATTTGACCCAATTTATTCATTTTAATGTAATCTACTTTTAGGAAAGCATTATTCATTAGTCAAAATAAGCATACCGTAGTCAAAGAGAGTCAGGGGAATCTACAGAATTATAATTGTTTTACTTTCTGGATATACGTATTTTGCATACATTTAAACTTCTGTTAATAAATGTTGTCTTAGGAGTTTCATTGTTTTTCCTACTTTGTCGAAAATGCAATTTCTGGTTAACTTACTATACTTCAAATAAATTAACGTCCTAACTAACAATAAGAACTTACTAAAAAATACGTTAACTCTCGCTTGATAAAAGTCCAAAAGTGTTAGACAAGATTATACAGAAAAGCTTAACGTTAACATAGTTTACAATAAATACTCAATGATGTAAGAGGATGAGTTTCTTATGCATATATCTTTTTGATGGCTGATTATGAACATAAATTTCAAAATAATAAGTTATCAAAATTAAGTTGACATATATGACATAACCAAGAGAGTTACGCTTAACAATAACGTTCAAATTATGGATGAGTCTCTTGGGAGTAGTTCTTTTTTCCAAGAATATCTTACTTAATTAAGTAACTCCATAAACTTATACATTATCTTGAAAATTGTTTACCATACTTTGTTAAGAAATACAATACAATATACAACATCTACTCATCATTTAGGTTTTTATATTATGAAATTTAATTTTCATTTGAACGTTTACAAATCATACATTTATTTTTTTATCTGTAGCATATATTAGGATATAATAATAATAATAATAATAATAATAATAATAATAATCAGTAAATCAACTTCTAAAACCAGTCACATCTTTGATTGATTAGTTTCTGTCATTAATACAAGTAGGTATGAATACAAAAAAAGTAAAGTTTCATTTCTATGCTATAAAAATATTGATGCTTTTTTCTTAAATAAATTAATTAGAAATTAATTCTTTTGTTAAGCAAGCTGTTGTTAATATGCAATCACAAAGGGAAGACAATATACGAAATCTGTCTACTTTACAGTTTGGACTACAAAATATTCTACCTTCATTGGTAAAAAGTGCAAATAATATTTTATTATCAGCTAGTCAATACGCTTTTATACTTCAATCAAATCTTATGCAAGAAGCTGAAAATTTAGTTCACAACTGTATTAACGATGTAAGTTATAAAAATAAATGTCATAATGACATTGATTTGTCATTTTCAACTTTACCATTGGTTCAAGTAATAGTAAATACAGTCTACGTAAGCAGTATGAACTGTACTAATGTATTTATTATTGAGCTATTTAATATATATTTTAAGCTAGCATAGCAGTGGTGTGGTTTTTACGCCTATATTATTCCAAGTTTGAACATCATATCAACTGGTTTAAAATCTCTGATTCAGTGGATTACTGATATGCTGTAAATAAACACTATGATTACCATAAACTTTTTTAAATTTTAACTTATTATAGTGAGAAATTAGTTCTTGTGTCTTAGAATGGATTACAAAGTCTGTTCAAAATCATTGTTTTTCAACAAAATATCTTTCTGAATAACTTTAAGTATATTGTTTTAATGCTAGATATGGTTTTAGATAAAATATTATATTGAACGATAGGATCAGTCAGACAAGTAACTACTTCTTAAGTTTCAGTAAAAGTTATCCAACTAATGAAAGATGTTCCTGTTATTCATGGGCGAGTCGGTCAATAATATTTAGCAAATAAATAAGACTTAAATGACCACACTATTTAGATTACTTGAATTAAAAAGTTTCATACCATTTGGACAAAATCAACAAAAATTACTAACTTCATCTTGTTTAACTTTATGAATACATCAATACTTTCACAACAAACTTTCACTTTATGTAGTGTAAGTGATTTATAGTGCATGATTGCCTTACTGATAAGATTGTTATTCTTTTGAATAAAATATTTGTGCAAATTGTGGCAAAAGTTTCACAAATTCTAGACAATTCTAAACGTTGTTAGACAACACTTTTTATTCATATGAAAACCATAAAAATTAGCTTGTGAATCTTTTTGATTTAAATCAATAAATCATGTGCAAAAGAAATAAGTTTACATACTTTATTCATCACAAGCACAAGTGACATAATGAATAGAAGATTTACAGAATTATAATGAATTAATTTTTCAGAAGTTCTATAGCAACAATTAATTGCATAATTAATTTGTGAAAGTAATGCTGTGTTGATTAATGTTTTCTATCAAATAATTCTAACAAACTATGAAATCTTATGTAGTCTGATCTTTAAGGCTGTACAAATTTTATTCTTTTTCAGTGGTGAATAAGTATGTTCGTGTTAAAATGAATAAGCTAAATGAAATGTAATTTTATGTATTTATAATAATACTGTTAGATTTTAAGAAATTATCTAAACAGTAGAATACAACACAGTTTCCTCTTTATGATATTATATTTGCTGACATCAGATCTATTTTAATCTATTAAGCAGATCCTTTTACGAAATTCGTATAGGCCTAGAAAATTTTAGTTGTGATCACTATTTTGATCATTTTTGCAAAAATGGTTAATTTGATGAGTCAAATAATGTGTGGTTGATGTTGGTATTATATTATTAGTATTAATGCTGAAACAAGGTATACCAAAAACACCTATAATGCTTTCCAGCTCAATTTATATATTTACATATAACAAATTAGACATTATATATTTACCATCACTGCAAAGCCTCATTTAACAGAACGTTTTTCTTGTGTTGCATTTTGTTCAACTGAACTGATAATTACACATTCAGTGCTAAATTGTGAGTATTTATACTAATAGATGCACTCTGCCTAAAGCACTTCGAGGGTTACTACCAGTTGCGGTCCCTAATAAATGAGAAGGTTTGGATATCGGAATAGTAACACATACTGTGAAAAATAACTTAATTAAAAACACTAATCAAAAAAAATTATTTGAACCATTTAAACTCTGAACTGGTAGTTGAAAAGTGTTCATATAGACGAGTTATAACATCTCATGATGAAAGCCAAACTTCTATAGAAATCGCGAAACCCAAGAGCATTCTGAAAACCAGATCAATAATTAATATAAATACAATATGGGAGACTGGGAGGAACATTCATGTAGCTGTATAAATGTGAAGAAGCACTGTCCTGAAAAAGATCTGACATTCTTGAACGCCAAGGTTGACATAGACAACATAGGGTATGAAGAAGTCACGAAACTAAATGAATTCAAGGAAAGGACCAAGGATGACAAGAGGTTTGTAGATATGCTTATTTTTAATAACACTATAGTAACGTAGTAGTACTTCCCCTCACAAATACAAACACGAAACTACATGGGAACACAATACAGAAAACCAGATAAATCACATCTGCATCAATAAAAAATTCATAAGGTTCATAGAAGTCATTGGAACAAACAAAGAAGCTGATATAACTACAGATCACCACCTGGTGATGGCCTGGCTGAAACTGAAACTAAAAAAGCTCTGGACAATCAGACAAGCAGCAATACAAACGTTTAGTACGGTCATCCTTCGAGATACTGACAAACTAAGTGAATTTAAGACAACTCTCAGCAACAAGTTACAAGCCTTACTAGATATGCTCGGAAAAATGGTAGCCACCATGGAGGACAGCTAGAAAAAGATCAAGCAAATGATAACACCAACATGATAGGAGGGGCTGGTTCCAAAGAATCACCAGAATATAAAGTAAAATCATACTGATAACCTAGGCATCATTTGAGAAAAGAAAAACAAGAAGACAGCAGTCGACAACAGACGAACAAGAACAGAGGAACCCAAGTCAAAAGCAGAATACACAGAAGTAAACAACAGAATTGGAGGTGATAAGCGGAAATACGTAGAAGGCCTGGCATCTACAGCAGAACAAGCTGCGAGAGAAGAAAATATGAGAGAACTATGTGATGCCATATAGAAGCTATCAGGAGAATACGACAAACTAGATATACCAGTCAAGAGCAAAGATGGCAACCAATCATTTGGGTTCGAAATCTGGGGGGCCGATCGATAAAGCATTTTTAAAAGAGCTCCTGAATAGACCAGTACCTCTGAGTCCATTAGATGTCGAAGCCACACAAACAAACCTCCTGATGGATTACATCTTGCCAATATTGGAAATCAACAAAGCCATTCAAAAAACCAAAAATGTCAAAGCAGAAGGATCAAACAGCATGTCAACCGAAGCATTAAAATCAGATACGGGGTAACTGCGAAGATGAGTCACGTCCTCATCACAAAGATGCGATGAACGAATAAAAAAATTTTAAAGTTCTGCACAGCTTGGATTACTAAATGTTTGTAGTTTCATATAAAAACACACTGTTTATAAATAAATAGTTTGTGAACTGTTTCCTCCGTCTGGTCGACTTTGTATACTAATTCATATTTAGAATAATTGCAATTTTCAAAAAAATTTAAAAATGCAGTTAAACTTTAATATTTCATGAATAATTTTGCACAGACATTAATATTTAATTGTTTATATATTAGAACGTTCTTAATTAAAGTGTTAAAAACATTTTATATTCTCAGCAGACTGAAAAAGACAATATATCTATACAACCTGGATGTAATATATCTCCTGCAGAATTTATTATTCGTGTAGATAAATTAAAATCTCTTCTCTACGAAACAAAACATTGTCGAACTCATAGAACATGTGAAGTACCTAGTGTATTTAAATGGGAAGAAGAATCAACGTGTAGTGACAAGAACAATTTACCTCATCAGGAATCTCGTAAGATTATAGAATTTTACGCTTGAATAGTTCTTTTATTTATTTCACATATTATTTGTCAATATAAATGGGTTATTAAGGATTTAAGATTATTAAAGGAATGATAAACCAGCTGATTTGTATTTGAGTATTAAATACATTGGATAGTTTAAGTATTATCTGGATTTCTGATTAAAAGAAAAACATTTATAAAATTGTCTGAAGCTCAATAAATTGATTATTTATTTTTGCAACTATTGTAATTAATAAACAAATCAGTGTTCTGTATTAAAACTGAATCCACTAATAACAAATACTTCAAATCTGTATTTGAAATTATTGTGGTCTTTTTAATGAACTTCAAAACCAACTGAATATTCGAAATAATTATTATTGCTTTATGATATGTCAATTGAAAGTATTAGTTGTTCAAATTCTATATGCTAGGTCACTATTTTTTTTCAATGTTTAATTGTATTAACTTCAAACTGACAGTTCAAATGTTTATAATATTCTGAGTATTATTGTTGACTAGTCGGCTTTATTTTTGTTCCATAACACATTTTTTTCTTTTAAATAAATTTATATTGATAGAAATTAATCAAGCTATGTATGTTTTCAGCGCTTCTTGTTTTATTGACAATAGGAAATGTTTATATATATATATATATATATATATATATATATATATATATATATATATATATATATATATATACTCTGCTAATAAATGATTAATTAAAGCAAGTCTAATTATATTTAATATTAAATTAGATTTTGTAATTAACACTCTTTCTGTAAACGATTGAGTAATCATGACCATAGGGTTCTTGTGATACAATGTATGAGACAAAGTACAATACAGTCCATGCGTAAAATAATTAGCATTAGTTTACCAGACTGACTGAACAAAATTGCACTTGTTTGATTGAATAATCGAATGCACAAATCATGTATTATTTTCTTATAGTTGCACTGACTTGATAGTATTTACCGATTCAATTTTGCTATTCCACTTTGGTTACAGAAAATAAAGTATGTTACGAATAATTGTCGAATGAATCTAGTCATATACCGATTGGTATTATTGTGTTGAATAAGCATAGCTGCATGACTAACTTGAGAAAGAGAACTTTGTATTAGTCTAATTTTGAGTCAAACTGAAAACTTCAAAGTAGTTCATGTATATACATTTTCCGAATCCAGTATTGACATTCGCCATCTTTACATTCTGATCTACTGTAAATTTGTCTTTAATTGGTTATATAAATTTGACAATTTCTTAAATTTATTTAGCTGTGATGTCAGTTAGCAGTCATCTATCAACCTCAGACATAGATATTCAACCCTATCAAACAGTTTCAACTGGAAATGTTATTAAAAATTCCTTATCGCCATATCCGGATATGAAAATCATTGTAAGTTGAATATATATTTTTTCATACTGTTAAAGTTCTATGGTAAACGCATTAGTTTAGTTTTGATTTAATGTATATTGTAGAAATAGACAAAATATAAGATTTTTTAATCTTTTATGAACATATTTTCTAAAAACATCAATTAATTAATCATGGCTATTGGTAAAGCTTTTGATCTAGAGGTATAGTCAAGTTTATAATGAAACCGTTAGGATTGTGTAAAAACATCATTTCATGTTGATATGCATGTTTTTACTTATATAAAAATCCACCAGATTTTTTAAATTTTCAATGACGCGTAACATAATACATTCATAAGTATTCCCTCTTTAATGATCATTATTGATACACTAGTCTAAATAATAAATTCAAAGATTTATTTTTGTAAAAATGATTATTCTAATGACATACACAGATGGTCTATGTTTTTTTTATATTTACACCGAAAATATGGTCTCTTAATACTAGTTGATATTGAAAATAAAAATGAGTCTATTTTCCAAACACCTTTTACATGTTTTTCAACCTTTTGTGGGATGAATCCTAAGCATAAAACTGGTACTGTTTGTTTTTTAACTCTACATTCATGAATACTTGATATTGTGTAATGAATTGTCTATCCATTTTATGTTGTAATCAAATGTATCGACAACTCCTCACTAATTCAGCGTTATTTATTACAATTAAGAAAAGCAGCGAATTTCTATGGTTGTAAATCACAAAGTTCTTTTATTCAAAAGAAAACTGTTTAAATAGAAAGCTACTATGTAGTATTCAGTATTTTGAGGGATTTCGTGAATAGTAATCAACCACATCTTACTATCTATTTGGTGTCCAAACTCTGTTTAATTAACTGTTATGCCTAATACGTAAATTTAATTACATCGAATTTAGTAATTTAGGATGTGATAAGTAAAATAAATTCTCATACAAATAGATGGAAGTATTGTTTTAGACAAATGGATATTATTAAAAATTCGAACACCGTTTTAATGTTTATCAGAAATTGAATGTGCAACTTCTTGGTCAATTGAATGTCAGCTTTTCACTGTACGCTGAAGATAACTAACTTACCAACCAGTGACTGGGAACATATGTAAATGCAACTGATTATTTACCAATAGCAATTCATCCATAATGTGTTTAGAATAATTCGGCAAAACAGGTGACTATGTTTCTTTGAAGTATAAGACTTGGAACTTATGGATATTTATGTAATACTTTGAGGTCTGATTTTTTTTATCTAAAAACTAGTGTTATAACCAAAGTAATAATTTGGTGAGAATAATGCTCTGTGACTCGATGAGTATGAGTAAGCTGCCATGGGATTTGGATATACTTTTGACTAAAATATGCTTTTTCATATTTTTGAATGTGTAGTCCATTATTATTTACTTTAGAAAAGATATGAAACTGATTTGTCAATCATTCTGAAGGCAGCTACTGTTTAATGAGTAATAATGCTGTTTAAGCATAGAATATATATACTAATGTTTATTATGAGAAGTTTATGTTACAGTAGTATGCAGTTACGGTTCTGATATTTCTAAATAAGAATTTTGTATTTCAAAGTGTGACCTACTAATTATCATTGTTTTACTTTTGATTTATGTCATAGGCTAGTTAGTCTTTTACGGGTTCAAATCCGTACAATAAAATATTATTTTAGAATTAGATTTGATCGATATTCAAAAGCATTTTTAACGGATAAATGTCCAAATGTTATTTGTTTAAGTAATGAGTGAAAACATTTTGAATAAGGAAGATAATTCTCTTAACACAATAGTTACTACATCGGGATACATTTTTTTCTAGATCTTCGATCATGAGTTTATCGTATAGGGAAATTCTTAACATGAAACTAATATTAGAGTGATACTGTGTAGTGCCATGTTAATGCATAGCTTATTCTGGTAAAAAAAACTAGCTGAACAAATTTTTAATCGATTAGACTAAAATCCACGTTAATCAGCGGATTATTATTTGAGATAGAAACGTTTGATGCAAACTATAATATTTCATTTCATATATACAAGTAATTAATAACTTTTTTTTGAAAAGTAAATTCACTATTTATTCGAATCCCTGCACTGTATAACAGGTTCACTGTATACTCAAAGACTTTAAATTATTACCGCGTTAGTTATGTAGTTTCAGTATCAGTTTCTCTAGTCAAGGTTAAATTTAGACATGAACTGTAGGTCTTCTACAATATTGGTCTTCTAATTTCTGAAGATATTTTAAATACTGTTCTAAAATTGAACTGACTTTTACCTTACAATTTATTCTTGACTGTTTTTTCCTCTGTTATATAGTATCGTGAGTCTGTTTACCAACAGGAGAAAAAACCGTGCAGGATTTCTTCAGGTGATGACATTAGATATATAAATGTGAAAGAACAACCTTCAACTTCAAAACTCTGTATGAATGATGACTTGCCCGATAAACCAACTCACAGAATTACCCATGACTTTTCGTCTAAAAATAAAAGTGTTCTGATATTGCCCAAAGGTCAGTTAGTGACAATCATAAGATCTTATGGTCAAAATGGTAATACTAATTGGAGTTTAGTCAAATTTCATCCATATGGGGAAATTAAATTTGTACCAACTAACTATCTCGAAGCAATATGAAATTCATTTTTTGGTTTTATTTAAAATCGTTCATTTGACAACGTCTTACTCTTTTTTACAAACTAGTAGTTTTTTGGTATTAAACCATAGTGATTCTAAATCTCAAACAATACATATGTTTAATATTCCTTTTGTCGGATGAATGACTTCAGTTCGTTTACTTTGTTTACCTAAGTTAATTAATCATATTAAAATGAACGATTACTTTTGAATATTTTAATTACAATTGTCCTATACATATGGGATTAAACAGTAAAATATAGAGAAAATTATTCCATCAACTGTTTTAACTTGTATTCATTGTATAAATATAAAACATTTAGTAAATTAGTTATTCTTCTCGTTGTCATTGTAACTCAAAAGATATCTGAAGCATGTCACAGTTTTATTTCTATTGAATCAAGCATTTTTTTAGGTAACTAACTTAAAATACACTTCATACATTTAACTTCATTTTTAGAGTTGAGCTAAACACCTTGACTTTTAAAAACCATTTAGCAGTAACATTAGAGTTTACCGATTTCACAATAATCATCCGCATGGAGAAAGTATACTTGGTATAAATTACCTACTTAGCTTCAGTTTGATGAAATAGGAGTCTTAAAATATTAAAATGTCATGAATATACGCCATACATTATTGATATATTTTAGTTTCACTTGATATACAACAAAACATCTAAAACAACAGCTAAACACGAAAAATATTGATTCATGACAATGAGTTATTACTGAAGTTTCTTTCAGGTAGATAATCATATTTAAAGAAGACTTGAAAATGTAGTTTGGACTCGTAAGATTTATTCAGTTGAAATACCTTAGTACTACTTAAGTAGAAGTCCATGTTAATCAACACAATCGTTTTAAGCAGTTGAATCATTGTATATCGGACATTGTCGAATAAGTAGACAGAGGGTAAATCAGGAAGTCAACTTTTAATTGCAGACGCATTCAGAAGCGGAAATCAATCAAGTTAGTTAGCAATTATAACGTATTCAAACAAGCATTCTGTTTCACAAGACAGTGATGAAAAAATAGAAACCCTGTATGATCTATGCTACAGCCAGTTCTCCCCTATAATTGCTGCCTATAATGTTTTTCCGTTGAACACGTCTTCTGTGGCTTTAAAGAATTCTTATAGCGCATAATCAGATGCGAAGGAAGTTTTAGTAGTAAATACAACCCCAAAATCAATAGTTCTGTACGTCTTCGGCATTTCTGATTCTGACCCCATTACTTTTAATGGACAAATCTAGTTAAAAGCTCTCGGTCACGTATCCGCACCAGACTACGAATGGGTACGTCGTGTTATGCATCTCTTACAACTGTTGTCCAGCTTAGAACAAGTGCTTCTCAATATATCGATAGCTTTCCAGATATAAATTTGAACCTCTTCATTTCTGTCTTCTAATTTGACTGAGATGGTATCCTCCGATTATGAAGGTGTTAGATGCAAAGGCGTTTTCAATCTCTGAATGCTTATGACGTCTTTAGTAGTGAGTTCGACGTGATCTGGTACACAAAGCAGTGAGCTGTGTGACTGTTCCCTGTTGGAACATTATATATCATTTCGTGATTTCTATTTTCACATATTGTCATATGATTTTCATATTTTCGGATTTTTTTCTCGCCCATCTTACTTACTTACTTACTTACGCCTGTTACTCCTCGTGAAGGAGCATAGGCCGCTCACCAGCATTCTCCATCCAACCCTGTCCTGGGCAATCCTTTCAAGCTCTTTCCAGTTCTTATTCATCCTTTTCATATCTGCTTCTATTTCCCGACGTAATGTGTTCCTTGGCCTTCCTCTTTTCCGCTTCCCTTCAGGATTCCAAGTTGGCGCTTGTCTCGTAATGCAGTTTGATGATTTCCTCAATGTATGTCCTATCCATCAACTCCATCGTCTTTTCCTAACTTCCTCTTCAGCTGGAAGCTGGTTGGTTCTCTCCCACAAAAGGCTGTTGCTGATGGTATCCGGCCAATGGATGTTGAGTATCATGCGTAGACAGCTATTAATAAATACCTGTACCTTCTTGATGTTGGTTGTTGTAGTTCTCCAAGTTTCAGCTCCGTACAGTAGAACTGCCTTGACGTTCGTATTGAAGATTCTGACTTTGATATTGGTTGAAAGTTGTTTTGAGTTCCATATGTTCTTCAGTTGAAGGAATGCCGCTCTAGCTTTGCCAATCCTTGCCTTGACGTCTGCATCTGAACCTCCTTGTTTATCGACGATGCTTCCCAGATATGTGAAGGATTCCACGTCTTCCAGAGTTTCGCCATCAAGAGTGATTGGATTGCTGTTCTCCGTGTTGTGTTTGAGGACCTTGGTTTTCCCATAATGTATATTGAGGCCTACTGATGCAGAGACTGCTGCTACGCTGGATGTCTTTATTTGCATTTGTTCGTGTGTATGCGATAGGAGGGCTAGGTCATCTGCGAAGTCCAAATCGTCTAATTGGTTCTGAGCTGTCCATCGTATACCGTGGTTTCTCTCAGATGTCGAGGTCTTCATAATATAATCGATCACCAGAAGAAACAGGAAGGGAGAGAGTAAACAGCCTTGTCTTACTCCGGTCCTTACTTGGAATGCGTCTGTCAGCTGTCCTCCATGCACTACTTTGCACTGTAGTCCATCGTATGAGTTCCGGATAATGTTGACAATCTTCTCAGGAACTCCGTAGTGTCGAAGAAGTTTCCATAACGTCCTCCTATCTACACTGTCAAATGCCTTCTCATAATCAATGAAGTTGATGTAGAGTGACGAGTTCCACTCAATTGATTGTTCGACGATGATCCGTAGTGTCGCAATCTGGTCTGTGCACGACCGGTCCTTACGGAATCCAGCTTGTTGATCTCAAAGTTGAGCGTCTACTGCGTCTTTCATCCTGTTCAGTAACACTCTGTTGAAGACTTTACCTGGTATTGACAGTAGTGTAATGCCTCTGTAGTTTTCACACTTGCTCAGATCTCCTTTCTTTGGAATCTTGATGAGGTGTCCTTCTTTCCAATCCATCGGCACTTGTTCCTCCTCCCAAATCTTCTTGAATAGAAGATGAAGCATACTTGTAGTTACTTCGATGTCTGACTTCAACGCTTCAGCTGGTATATTGTCAGGTCCTGCTGCTTTCCCGCTCTTGATTTGTCTGACGGCCATTCTGATTTCTTCTGTCGTTGGTGGATTGACATTTATAGGAAGATCTGTGTGTGCTGCTTCGATGTCCGGTGGATTCATTGGAGCCGGTCTGTTCAGGAGTTCCTCGAAGTACTCTGCCCATCTGTTGCGCTGTTGTTGAATCTCAGTGATTGGTCTTCCTTCTTTGTCTTTGACTGGTCTCTCTGGTTTACTGTATTTCCCTGCTAGCTTCTTCGTCGTATCGTAAAGCTGTCTCATATTTCCTTCTCTTGCAGCTTTTTCCGCCGTCGTTGCTAGTTCTTCCACGTATTTTTGCTTATCAGCTCTAATGCTCTTCTTCACTTTCTTGTTTGCTTCTATGTACTATGCTTGTGCTTGGACTTTCTCTGCTCTTGTTCGACTGTTGTTAATTGCTGTCTTCTTGTTCTTTCTTTCTTTGATCCTATCCAGTGTTTCTGTAGAGATCCATTCCTTGTGATGATCGTTATACTCATATTCATCATGACGGAACAGACTCCTAAGTTACTTAAGATTAAGACCCTTTCGCCTCCCACATTTCAGATGATGCAATCATGACCCGGCAATATCAAAGCCTGGTTCTGCTATGCAGAGGCTGGCTTCCACGAGCACGGCGTGGCCGATCCACGTGCACAACTTGCTGTAGTAGAGAAGGCACTACCGTGTGATTTCAACTGGTACGTCACACCTAGTATGTTTACTAGTGATGTTTCGGAACCTTAAGAAACTTTAAAAAACCATCCCTGAACGTGGATGCCTAGCCAGGCGACAAATTTGAGACCAAATCTTTCACAACATCAACCTGTAATATTGCTCAACAACAGAAATGTTACTACGAATGAGAGAAGTCATTGGTCAACGGGCATTTGCTGTTCAAAGAAGCTCGTCACGAAAAACATCTGTCTCTAAACCGAGAGAGGCAGATAATCCCAAATAGTGTCAGCAACACAATAAGTATTGTAAGTCTTCTCGAAATCACAGAAAACCCTGCATTTTTCCGAGCTCCGAACCATCCAACACAGAAAACACTTCGGCACGCGTCAACGGCAACCGTGGAGGGTAAACATAGCCGTTTTTTGTACACAACTGACGTGATGACGAAAGTTCGCCATCTCGTAACCAGCAATGTTAAATACCACATCACGACCACATGAACACTGATATTGGTGAAATTGCGCTGAATAGCTCCCGAAAAGCTAAGGTTGGCCAAAGTTGAGTTCCACCATATGACGAACTTAGGAATCAGTCGGCCATCGAATGGCTCATGGGTATCTCCCTTACAATGGTCCGTAAAATGGATAGCAACGATTGGCATCAAACCGGTGACTCTCGGCAACTGAATGCGAAAATCATTCTCGATCGGTACAAGTTGTTTCACATGCACGATTTGAGGGCTACCTTAAAGGACACGACTGTCTTTTAGAAAACCGACCGGGTTAAAGCGTATAACCAAATTACTATGGCTGTTAACTACATTCCTAAAACCACTATCGTCACCCCTTCCAAACCCTACAAATATTTGCGCATGCCTTTTGATTTGAGGAATGCTGCTCAAACTTTCCAGAGATCCACTGACAACGTCTTTTCAGGTCTCAACCTCGTGAACACTCAGGAATGTCTAATCGGCACCGACTCTCTACATTTTCTAGGACACGCTATTGATGTTCAAGGCACCCGCCCCCTGCCTGCCCAGAACCGGCCGTAGTCAAGCAATTTCATACGTTCGATGGTCTGGTAGGTTTCTATCGTCGGTTCATGGTGAATCGCGTGTATGCCATAAGACGCCTAACGGACCAGATTCGTAAAAATGAAGAAACCACCAATTTAGACGACAGCGCGAAGAAAGCATCCTCCACATTTAAGGAACTTCTTGCCAAAGCAACTATGCTCTCACACTAGAACAACGAAGCACAAGTTATATCTCAGTAGATCTATCCAACTTAACAATCGGAAGAGTTTTACAGCAATGGGTAAACAACAGCTAGTAACCTATTGTATTCTTCTTGAGACGGTTGCAAGACACCAAATCGCGCAATAGCGAAATCTCTACTATGTATTTTTAAGTGGTCTTTTGCTGCAGCAAAACAACAAAATCATTGATAAGAACAATAATTTACCTCTCTCTGTCTTATAGTGCACACTTTGGATCGATTGTTACTTCGTAACTTCCCAATCTTCT